TTGCTAATGACTACTTAATTTGTTGTTAATTACCTTTTCATTTCTCACTTACTAGTGCAATGCACTGTATCGTGCTGCCTTTCAGTTGCAAAAATCTGAATTAGAATTTTATAATGCAATTACTTTAATAAAAGTCTTCTTTATTTTGATTAATTAATGAAAAGTTGACCCAGTTTGTCGAATCTCGACAAACAAGCATTTTGATTCTTTAGTTGGAAAGATACGAGCTTTTACTTTAGGATCTCTTTACATTTGAAAATTTTAAAAATTGTAAAAAGAGAGCATCCAATAATTATATGGCCAAGTGTTATCTCAATTATAAAATTTGATAATATAATGGATTTCAATAATAATTCTATAAAATCTACATAAGATTATTAATAACAGAGGCACAAGGCACTATGGTCTAGCCAGGTCAATATGGCTCGTCGGCTCAGCTCAAAAAAGCTCGAGTCGGGTCGGCTAGTGGCTCGTGCCGAGCTCCATTTTAGGCTCGCTAAGGCCTGAGCCGAGAGCTTAGGTCAAGCCTAATTTTTTTTTTTTTCCTAGCAAAACGGGCCAAAAAAATTTCGAACCATTTTTATTCAAGCCAAGCCCAAGCAAAAAGTTTAGACTCGGCTCGGTTCGATTCGTTGACACCCCTACTATGACCATGTAAGCTTGCTCCTATTTGTATAGGGCGATTGTTGATTTGACCGTATGAAGTAACTAGTCAAGGAGTACTCACTAATTTTGCATCATTTATTTTGAACCTGCTTAGCACACCTTCGTCGCATAATCTTCTTGTGACAATTTCAAAATGTCATCATCTCATGGATTTATTTTGCAACACCCAAATCCTTTGTTACGAACTTACTCATTTTTCAATTTATCTATTTTTCGTTTGCAAACACCTGTAATCAACATGTCATTAACATTTAGCAACAAGATAATTTAGGAGTCATCAAAATTCTTTACAATCATCGTCGAGTTAGAAGGTCTAATCTAAGTTGCATAAAACTCATTTAACTCAAGTAAAGATAAGTATTATTGATGCCAAAATCATTTAATAGTCAAAATGTGGGACAAAAAAAAATATATTCAATTGATTTTACTGTTGAGATTAACCTACAAAGGATCACGTCTAAGGTGATATTGGAGTTGTCTGGTGAAAGCCCTTCAACTCTGAAATCAGTCAAGCAATTTGGAGTATGTTATTCATAGATAGCGGTTGTAGTAGTCATTACAGAAAATTAATGTCTCAAATAACAAGTTACCAGATAGGATGGCTACTCCACTCGCTGACTATGAATATCATTATTAAGCAATTTGTAGAAGATTTATTAAATTTTCCATCAACAAATGCTCATTGTGAAATCGCCTAAAATTGCTAATAGCCGAATGGAAGAGCTCGAATTCATTACTCATAAAACATTAGGATTATGCAGTTTGTATACTCCCTCTTCACATTATGGATGTCATTTGTTGTGTTGTCAAAAAGAGATTGGTTGAAAAAATTGTTTTTTTTTTTTTAAACCGTCCAATTAAATGATGTCATGTGGCAGAGTGTAAGGATCAATGTAATAGGTGATATACATCACGCAAGATTGTAAACATTGAGCTGCTCAGTCTACTTGATGTAGAAACAGCCCACAAGAATAGAATAGAATAGAATAATTATATTGACAACTTGAGAAAAATAATAATAGTCAAACTGAGCAAAAATGCATGGAATTTTATCAAGGTATGCAGCAGCTTGTTTTCTTCTACTGCTTGGTACCACTATACAATAAAATTCTAAACGCGATTTACTTATACTAGTTCATTGTACGTGCAACATGTTGTATGTCTACATGTTATAAGTTAATTATAATAATTTGAATACACTATTAGAAAGTAGGAAAAATTTCACTTGCTTTGATAAATCAATGAATATCATCATTGAAAAGTCAACACAAATTTCAATTGCTTTATTTTTAATCAATAATTGCCTAGTGCATTTCTGTATCTCTTGAAATAATGGAGCAAGAGCAATTCAAATGCGATGGTCATGGGTTCGATTCCGATAA